TACTTCGACTTAGCTTTTGATTTTTTAATAAATATTTAATATTTTATGCAGACAAATTATGTTGAGCAGAATAATGAATTTCAGACGTGTTCAAAAGGTGTGTATCTGAATATAATAACATTTTTGTTGTATAGTATCCATTTTTTAATTTCACACATTTCTAAAGCAACAGGTAAGTACGGTATCACTTATTTAAGGCATTAAATGCAACCATTCATGCTTTTAGAGGATTTTACAATGTGGTGGTCTTAAAAAGATGATGTTCACTACCAATGTTTGTTTATGTTCCCAAAATAGAGATCTCTTAAAAGGTGACCTCTTAGAGATGTCGTAAATAGATGATTTGCTATAATTATTTTCCAATAGATAATGGAATTAATTTAATGTCAATAACTCGAGGAAGCAAGTTTAAATACGGTGCAACAAAAATACAGAAGTATTTTAAATGACGAAAATATTCATATTTTGTCAATGTCAAATTTAAAAAAGAATTAATTTTGGACAAATTATGAAATCTAACTTTTAATGTCGTCTTCTGTTTCTATATTTATATCTGGCAAAGTTTTATACTTGTTATGAAAAAATAAAAATACAAGAAGTTTGAGTCCCGTAGGACAAAGATTGACCGGGAAATTTAGTTTCAAAATTTGCAATGTTTGGTGCCATTTGTAACTTGCCTTCGGGTATCGCTTAATTGAGTTAGAATAATTCGAGGAAATAAGTTTAAATGAAGTGCAGCAAAAATAAGCATAATTTAAATAGTCGTAGAAGGAAGTCATGCGGAATCCATATCAAATTTTCACTTTTTCATAATGACCATAAAACTTTCCCAAATACAAATACAGAAACTGGGAGACCGCATTAAAGATTAGCTTTCGTTATTTGTCCGTTATTCGTTATTTCGTTTGCTGCTTCCCCCCCATTCCCTTCATCAGAACCGCTAATGACGAAAGGGTGAATTTTCCCCGATTCATCCCCTTTCCAAAACTCCTTGTTGAGACTGTTATTTGTTGAGACAAGGAATGCTATATTATAAATGTCAACTTGCTTTTTACACTTAACAATATAATCGATAAAAACATTCGCACATGCATAGGTTAAGTACGAATTAAGAAGAACTTAAAAGAAATTTAGAAATCTATAAAAGGTAAGGACATTTTTATGTTACTTTATTAGAGATAATAGTGAAGCACTAAATATTTCAATCAGTGTTATTTCATAATGCTATGAGTATACCTTTATTCATTTAAGAAAATGGCCCATCAGCGGTCGAGCGGTAAAATCGCTGAACACTGGTAGTTCCGACCTGAGTTCGATCTCAGGCAAACGGGCTGGCTTCATAAGCGTTTTGTGGTTTTTTTCCCGTACCAGCTTACAAGCCAGCTTACCATACCAAGCCAGCTTACACGTACCATACGAGCCAGCATACCACGTACCATACGAGCCAGCTTTCCTAAGAAAGTGCTCTACGAAGGCATTTTTCCTCTTAGGCACATAGCCCCAGTGTGTTTTTGTCATAATCAACTAAACCAAATCATTTAAGAAATATATCAGTTGATCACTGCTCAGTGTACATCTGCTGTTTGCTTATAAAAACACTTTGTAAAGACATTTCCACTATTTTGCTAATAATTCTGGAAGGCTCATAGAATCCGAAATTATGTTACACTAGCTAACAGAGAACTTAAGTCTGCTTAATAACAAAAATCTGCTTGAACTTGCTTTCGTGTCTTTGGGAAACGTAAGTATATGCAGAAATAAATATTAAAATCTATCACGTATATTTGTAAGGATGTAAAGCATACTGTTTTGGTTCACGATAATGATAAATATGCATCATGTTACGACAGTTTTAAAAGATCACAAATAACTATACATATGCTAGACTTCTAACAAAATTTCTGTTACAATATGAATATGCATTTATTATTATATGAGTCGTAAAACGGCCCACCAGCGGCCGAGCGGTAAAGTCGCTGAACACTGGTAGTTCGGTCCGAGGTTCAAATCCCGCGAACGATCCGGCTACATGGGTGTTTTCGTGGTTTTCCCCATGTGTAACGTGTATACAAGCCAGTTTCCCTTAGAAAGTCCTCCACGAAAGCATCCATCCCTTAGGCAGATAGCCATAGTGTGCTTTGCCATAATTAAACACACACATGAGGCGTAAAATTCAGTATTCGTCAATTTTAGATTCTAGGTATATGACAAAATTTTTTTTTTAATTTTTTCGTTTTGTTTTTAAAAATTAATTCACTTTATAGCTTTTCTTCAATTTATTATAAAGGTATAGGAGTTTAAATTTTGATTTATATATAATATGATATAAATTCATCATTCATTAATAATATTTTATGTATAACAAAAAAATTATTATTAATGTTCCAAATTTTAATTTTTTTTAATGATTTGTCTTACATTTGTTGTATATTTGTTGAATGCATAGCTAAATATTTCAATTATACACAATAAGATTATGCAGAAAACAATTCAGCTGGCATGACAGCTAATTGCGAAAGAAAAATTAGAGTCTTATTGCTCTTAACTCTTAGTACAAGCAGCCATTTTAAAATTGACGTTAAAATAAATTTATTCTATGGTCTATTAGAAAATAACTATACTGAATCATTTATTGACGACTTCTAAGAGGTCGCTTTCTGAAAGAAACCTGTATTTTTGAGAACATAAACATACGTTGATATTGAACATCACTTTTTTAAGATGCCAGAGCAAATGCACAGAGCTCCAAAAATCATCTAAAAGCATAGACGGTCACGTTTTAAAAGGCTGACTACTTTTAATAAAGCTTGTATATTAATGTTCATTATACATTTCTCACATTTTTACTTTCTTTCAAAACAGCGATACTGTGGTCAATTGCTTTAGAACTATGTGAAACTAATAAAATGGGCCCTATGTTATAAAAACCTAATTATATTCAGATACACACCTTTTGAACATGTTTGATATCCATTATTCTAATCAGAATACTTTGTCTACAGAAAACATTGAATCAATATTAGAAATCAAAAGCTAAGTGAGATTAAAGTAGGAAGAGTCATATCGTCTACCCATTTTAATTGAAGTAAACAGGTGCTTACTTTATCGTAAAGTGAAACACCCGTTTTTCAAACAGCGAATGAAAAGAAAAAAAGAGCCCACCAGAGCTCGAGCGGTAAAGTCGCTGAACACTAATAATAGTTCGTTCCGGGGTTCAATTCCCGGCTAACGGCTAGCTGCACGGGCGTTTTCGTGGTTTTCCCCGTGTATAACTTGCATATGAGTCAGTTCCCTTTAAAAAATTCCTCCACGAAGGCCTCCCTCCCCGTAGGCAATAGCACTAGTGTGCTTTGCCGTAACCGAATAAACCGAAACCGAAAAAAAAAAAAAAGGTGAATTGGTGGTGGGAAGGCAGCGACGAAACGTCGTTTTAGAGGAGAATGGGCTACATAACCAAATTTCTATCTATACTCTGGTAAACAGTACATTATTTCTCATCAAAAGCCTAAATTTAGCTAATGCTCGGCTTAGTTCTTAAATTGCAATTTCAGCCACAGCCCCCAAACAAGACGATGTCTGGTATTTTATTTCATTATTTAGTTATTCATCATTAATTTAAGAATTAACTTAAATTTTCATTTGTCTTTAAATTTTTATTGAATTATAATAATAATCATTTAATATTCTAGTTGCTAATTATTATTATTGTAATAGTTATTTTATTTTTATTTATTATTTATTTATTTATTCATCTTTCCTGATGGCCTTCCATAGAGCTCCAGCACTTCTAATTTTAAAAATTAAGTCCTGACTACAACCAATGATTGCGAAAATAAAAGTCAAGTAACTTATTTAGTGATAATTAAATAAAATAAAAGCCAAAGCTTTTATTATATATATATATATATATATATATGTTTGTGTGTGTGTACTTTAAATTTAATTATAAGGACATATATATATGTACTTTACATTTAATTATAATTTATTTGATATATATATACATATTTACGTTTGGTAGCATTACCAATTGCAATAAAAAGGGAGGTGCACATCTAGATGTTATAACGGACCCATATACAAAATTTCAACGTTCTATAACTAATCGTTTTTGAGTTATGCGAAATGCATGCATACATACGTACTATGCACATCACGTTTCAAACTCAAATCCCTTTCAAGTATCAACTTAGAGTCATAATCATTAGTCATAAGTATCAGCTTAGAGTAAATGGGATTACATTTAACAATAAGTTTTTTTTTTTTTGAAAAAAAAAAAAAAAGAGAGAGAGAGTCCTTCATTGTGTTCGTACGTACAGACGTCACCCCAAAAAATAATTCACATGGATTCCGTAATCGTCAAAAATGGATATTTCCGTTAAAATATGATACCCAAAAATTTTCTCGATTACAATAATTACTACCATTTTCATTTCGATACAAGGAAGTAAAGAACCTATATTAACCTTACATATTCTTATATAAACAATACCTAAGTGCAGTATATAAATATTTCAAATCAATAAAATCTCACTATGGCACGTTCTCAAGAAAAAAATAATAAATAATCATCTAAATTTTCAAATTACAAACATAAATAGCAATAGTAAAAAGCAAATACAAAATAACGCTTCCCGCTATCAAAATTGCTCATCTTCTTAAATATCAACAACTAAACTAAATAGTATTTCAACTAAAACACATAATGTAAACAAGAATTTGCCCGATGCCCAAAAAAATTCAAAATTATCTATGAAAAATATGAGCACATTGTAACGCAACCGCATCATTCGCATTCGCATAGAAACCGCATCATTCGTATTCGCATAGAAATCGCATCATTCGTATTCGTATAGCAACCGCATCGTTCGTACTCGAACAAACCGCATCGTACGACAGATGCGAGTAACGAACAGATGCGAGTAACGAAATGAATTTGTGAGTACCGAATCGGTACTTCGAGTCAACCGATGTACCCGTTACTCAGTAACGAATACATGCGGTTTGCTCCAGCTCTAGTAACTATTTATTTTGTTTATGTTGAAGATGGCGGCGTTATTGAAAAAGCGTGCATTGGCTGAATTTAGTATGGTTTTACAGGTAAATTGTATAAAATTCACTTCGTATACGTACGAAGTGTGTAAGTATACGAAAATTGGGGAAAGTGCAGAATCGCCCTCTGCTTACCGCGTTTTTAAGAACTCCACTAACTCGGTATCCATGTACACATCGAACCGGTCGCATGGCACCTAGGTGTGTCAAATGCACTGGTTTTCGCAAAAGCTCTGACTCTGAAATTAAAGAAAAAACTGATACGCCTAAGTGTGTTATCTGTGGATTCCTATAGAGGATGCAGTAAATTTCCAAAAGCGAAAAATTCAGGTAAATCTTCGATCAGACCTGGCGTCAATTACGCACAGGCCCTTAACCCTGAAAGGAAACGTGTAAAAACAGAAACCCGTTCAGACACATGTAGACACTAAGGTAAAAGTTTACAATTGGGTGCCCCTTGTTTATTGGCGATTCTTTTTTGACGCTAAGATCGGCGCCAGGAAGTCACAATTTCAAGATGGCCGCTGCACAAAACCAAAATAAGAAGTCAAGAATTGCATAAGATCTGTGTCCATGTACACATCGATCTGTTTTTACTTAAAAAAACAGCCTAGAATTGCACAAACTAGGCATTGCACACTGCCTTAAATATGACCATGTACACATCAATCTATTTTCAATTAAATAAAATTGGGAAGCTAAAACAAAGTTAAAACTATCGTGGTTACCAGAAGTGAGGTTTCATCACCAAAATTAAAAAAACAATGTCGCCAATCGAAGGGGCACCCAATTCTACACTAAAGCCGACACTAATACTTATCTAACTGACACAAGCTCGAATGCTATGAATAATTTTAAACTGAGTGGAATTGGAGATCTGCTCATTTTAATTATGACTGAATTTCAAAAATTATTTGGCAGTAACCTAAACAAAATCACCGAAATTTTCAGAAATAAAATTCGAGTCATGAGAAACTGTGGAAATGACCTCGGTCAGAAAACAAACATTTTCTACCAGATATTTGAAGAAATTAACAACATTGTGCAAAGAAACTAACATATTTCATATATTTTGTACCGATTCATGTCTAATTTCTCCAGTTTGATATGTTTGCACTCTCAGTTTGATATATCCATATATTTTGCACCACATTTTCCTGTTGATTACATACTCCATTTTATCTGCTTATGTTGCATACCTGTGAATTCTTGACTCTCTCTAAAAATCTGGCCAATACTTGCTTTGTATTTTTCGTATTTTCTTGTCTTCTTATTTCGTGTGTAGCAGCTCAGGACTGATTTTGAACTTGTCTACGACTCTTTCAACTTGTTAATATGTTTTCACTTTTACTTCCCGATTTCGGGTCATCTGTTTCAGAGCTTTACTCTGATACTTCAACTTATGCTATGGTATAACTGTTAGAAAATCGACTGCCTGTTATCCAGAGATAGCGCACTCATGCGCAGGAGCCTAAAACTGCAAACTGCGTTCGCCTGAGCCGACCTATTTTCACTTTAAAAAAGTCCCAGAATTGCACAAAAATGGCATTGTGCACTATCTTGACTTTATCCATGTATAAATCGACCTATTTTCACTTAAAAAGTCAAAGAAAATTGACAAAAATCTAATTTTTTTTTTTTTTTTTAATGTAAAAAGCGCTAAACAAATAAGTGAGCAATTCTGCACTTCACCCCAAAAATTAAAGACTATGTAGTTCCGGCTGTAAAATGTGTGCTGGCTCTTTAATGTTTTTAACTGAAAGGGTTTTTTCGTTACTTCTATAGGAAAAACCAACCAAGCGTCTCCGTATTATAAAGAAGGTGCCAAGTGTTACGGAACTTGATATAGATGTCTTGAAAAGTTCATCTTCTGGAGAAGCACTTTTGTTTCTTCTTCAAGTTGAGGAAGCAATTAAAGGAGAGGTAAGAAAGTAATTACAGTCAAAAGTCTTTAATCTCGACGTCCATAATCCGGAATGATCTATAATCCGGACGTCCATAATCCAGAATGATCTATAATCCGGACCTCAAAGCTACAAACTTTCTGTGCATGCCTCAACGCATATGCATAATACCTTTATGCATGTGCATATGCATCTACGCATGCGCGTTTAATTTATAACGGACGGTATAAGCTAAGCTAAAATTATCTATTTCAGTTACGGATTAAAGACTTGTGACTGTATATGTTTTAAAATGTATTTTACAGCACTCTTGTCATAGCATTTTTGGACTGATCTTTAGCTGGTGATATAATTGGTGCTTTGGACTAGAGATGGACCATCCAGTCCGGAACCGATTCATTTTACTGAATGAATGATCAGTGCTCCGACGTAAATCAAACGGTAGTTCTTTAACAGTTCACCAAGAGCTGTTGTTGGGAAGCATGCCAAAAAAATTTGATTCCTCTTAATGTAAACACTAGCATTCTTTTCTTTACTATTTACCGTAAAGATTTTTGACGTATTTTTTTATGTGTGTTATGTATATATGTATTGTGCTTTTGGTTTGCTTGTGTTCCATCTAGTATTTAAAAAACAAAATATTAAATAAACTAACATATCTCAATGAAACTAATTAACCCTGTTTGCAACTAAATGGAGAACCCCCTTCTGTCAATTGGAGTATCTGTATAAAGTATCTAGATATAGGAACTAGTTCCTGGGATTCCAGCTGTCATCGCTCGGGCACTCTTTCTCTAGTCTCAGATGTGGCTCCTTTGGAGTCGTTATTATTCCCTCTTTTCATCATTCCCACTGTAGCTGCTCATCTGATAACTACAGAGTCTTCATTATTTGCTCTTTTCATTGCTCCTACTATAGCCGCAAATCTGGCTTCTGCTAAGTTTTGAATATTTTCTCTTTTTGCTTCCTTGAAAATGTTCCTTTGAATTCCATTTTGATTCTTTGAATACTGTGTCATAGTACAGCTATGTATATTAGGTATTATCTTTTTTTTGTACAATAAAACTAATATTTATATAAAATAATAATTTTTTTATTTATTTACTTATTTTACTAATGTCTTATAATCAAGACTTGTAAATTTTTCTTTAATCTTCTTTAGATCAGTATGTATTTATAAACAAAAAAAATTTCCATCTAATGCATTTTTTCAAGGTTGCAGATCAAAATGTGGAGCCTACCAAATAGAGGAACCTCAAGCGATATCATTTTGCCAAATTAGTTTAAAAAAAGGAAAATGCCGGTATTGTCATCAGACAATTTTCTGTTCTTTGGAATCTGCTTTCAATCTGAAAATTTATTTTTACACTTTGCTTTATAGTAACAACAAAATATCAAGTATTTTATAGTAGCAACAAAATATCAAGTATAGTAATAAAATAATGTAATCTTTCCAGAATTTTATTGTTGTTCTTTGTAGGAAGGTGCATTTAGGAAATCTCAGAAGTACAGTTGAAAGAAACCAGTCCAAAAAGTGAGTGATTTGGTTGATTCCAGCAATCCCACTCCTTGTTCAATTCTTTCTGCTTTTCCTCCATCTTTGCACACTGCTCTTAATCCATGCCTGTTCCGAATGCATTTGTTAAGATCCTTGTTAGTGAGCAGTGAATCGTTACTCATTCACTTCAGTGAATGAATGGTTCTGAATTGATCCCTTAAAGGAATGGTTTTGCCCATTTCTACTTTGGATGGACTAAATTCTAACCCATCGTATACTAAAGAAAAAATATTATGATTCCTAAAATTGAATATTTTCCTAGTAAATATATTATTAATAACTCAAAAGTATGCATTAATAAGAATTTAACTAAATTTGGTATTTTTCTATTTATTCCATTGCTTTGATTGATTTTTCCCCTAAATTTGCTCCATTTAAGATTTTGTGTGCCAGTAAAAAATTATATTTTAATGCTCTTACATGGAAATGAGAATGAAATATTCTTAAATTAAAAGACATTGTAAGCATAAATAAAAGACATGATACTGATTGTATACATATTATCTTTTTAAAATCTGTTTTTAGAATGTTTGCATGATTATGTTCAGATATAGGAAAATGGTATAATTCTATTATCAGGACCATGCTAAAGCATTGTGAAAATATGTGCAGAAAACTCAATTTAATAGCAAATTAGCAAACAACTACAGTTTAATGTGTATTTTAAGTAACAACCACTTGCTTCCGAAAGGTGCCGATTTCATTGGGCATGTGAAAGATAAACAACCTTCCAATACAAGCATTACTGCATTCTGATGATATACAATTCTTGTACAGTTATATGTCAGTCCTAGAAATTAGTGGTTGCATCTTCTTGTATAACAAAATGAACAGATACGAAATGGTGACATGGCTTGGCTGAAAGATTGTTTTAACCCGTAACAGGTGACTTGCGGTCTGATGGACGCGACACATGTTCCTCCCATCACCCCTATTGCATGCTTTGTCGAATTGAATGGATTCTTCCCCTAGCTTCGTGTTTCGTGACCTTCTTTCTGCCCCCTTCTTATTGGAATGCTTTGGCAAGTGTATCTGTTGAAATTTTTCTAGAGCGGTTTGTGAGACCTCACCTCCCTCTCAGTGTTACAATTTTCGGCAGTAGTGAACACATGGCTCTGAAGTTAGGTCCGCAGAGATTCATTTATACTTCTGATCCGAATTATGCAGAAGAACTGAAAAAAATTCTAGTTGGAAGTGATTTTAGTGAAGAAAATTTCTGCGAAAGTGCCCACTCAACAGACTCTGAATTTTCTGCAGACAGCAGTGATTTCTCTAATCTAGAAACAACTAATTCCATAAAATACTAGTATGGAAAAAATCAGTTCAAATGGTCATCCATTGAACCAAATCAAAAAGTTAGAAGGCCAGCTCACAGTATCGTAAGACTTCATGGACTAAGACCTTACGGAAAAATTGATAATTCAGATCCAAAAAATGTATGGCAACTACTTTTACTGACGGTACAACTCTAATATACGCCCTAATTTCACCAAATGTGGCGATATGTGTTCTGCGCTGGTTTTTGGCACGATTGCGTGTTCTATGGCAACACTGTTGACGTTGAAAAATCTTTCGCTGGAGCTCGTTGATTCGCCTCTGTGTCTGAGAAGATCCCCGGAGGGAAATATAAAATGGTAGTTGTTGAATTGAAGTTCGGCAAAAGGAAATATCATTGTGGCTATCCTGTTGAGGGGTAGTGGGTATTTGGAAGTGTGGAAAGAGGGTCTGGGAGATTATTTTTACTGGCAGTGCATGATAGAAGTAGGGATTTGTGATTTTATTTATTTGTGAACCATAGTATAAATTTTCTAGATAGTGTGTCTGGCTGTCATGTAAATACGATAGTGATTACGTGGCGGCATGTTAAAGGCGGTATGAAATTTATATTTCTGCTATTCGAAAACGCATTAATTCATGGTAAGTGCATTTTATTTTATCCTTGTTCTTATTTTGTAGAATGTTTGTTTCATTGGTTCTTTAGTATGAATTTCTGTCGTTATTGTTGTTTTTTAAATTGTTTGAAATTTATTTTAGTTTATTTTGTTGTTTAATGTCTAGACTGTGCAAGTCATAGATGTTTTTTAAAGTTGAAACAGAATACTGTGTACATGGTATTATTTGAAATTTATTGTTGTTATGTTATTTTATTAAAGCGAGGAGTGCGTAGATCGTAGATTCCTTCCTTGCCTAAATTATGCAATTCGTAGAATTTTTTTAAAGTTTAAACAGGATGCTGTGTACATGGTATTCTTTGAAATTTATTGTTGTTATGTTAATTTATTAAAGCGAGGTGTGGCGTAGTTTATAGATTCGTTCGTTGCCTACATTGTGCCATTCGTAGATGTTTTTTTAGTTAAAACATGTCGCTGTGTACATGGATTCTTGTCAAATTATTTTTGGTTAGAAACTTTACGTTTTGCTATATAAATTTTTTGTTTTTGTTTCGGATTTTTAGCTAAATTGTATGTTGAAAACGTAGTTTTTGCATGTGCGAAAACCGCATTTTTGGAGACATTTTAGGCTAAAAGTTCGAAATATAGACAAAAAAATTAGATAGTAATATGGCAGCGGGAAGTTTCTCGCCAAAAATATTTGGCGCGAAATTTGCCGACTTGAGGGCGCATATCAGAGTAGTTCCTTACTGACGAACTTTTAAGCGTAATTGTGAGATGGACAAATCTAAAAATTGAAAGAAAAATAAAAAAATATATGTGGTCCGATTAAAGGTGAAATTGACTACACCTGTGTTGATGAACTGAGAGCTCTTTCGGGTTTACTTATTTGCACATCAGTCTTGAAATCCAATCATGAAAGTATTGAATGTTTATTTGCCACGGATGGAACTGGCCGTGATATTTTTCGTGCATTTATGTCAATGAAACGTTTTAAATTTTTACTTTCAAATTTGCGATTTGATAACCCAGATGATAGGGAAGAACGAAAGAAATCTGATCCGGCAGAACTTATTTCTGAAGTGATGAATTTATTCATTTATAACTCCCAGAAAGCATACACATTAGGCACTTGCGTCTGCATTCATGAAATGCTTGTTGTATTCAGAGGAAAGTGTCGCTTTAAAATGTATATGCCTCAAAAGCCCGTGAAATATGGATTGAAAAGTTATGTGTGTGTGACTGATGCCCTGGAATAATTATGCTTACAATGCAATATCTTTATTGTGGAAAAGGCTCTGATGGAAATTAGCGTAGAAGAGAGTTGGAAACAAATTCAGCAAACCAAGTCAAGCTGTTCTGCGTTTGAGCCAAACCAATTTTTTTAATACGAACAGGAATGTAACAGCAGACAATTGGTTTTCTTCCATAGAACTTACACAAGAATTGTTGAAAAATGGACTGACATACGTTGGAACTGTTTAAAAAAAATAAAAAAGAAATTCTGAAAATTTTCTTCCATGTAAGTCAAAAAGAGAATTCCAACTTTTATGGATTTACTAAGGACAT